CTGATCCACACTTGTGCTTTTTAGTATTTCCCTTGTCCACTTGTTCAATGAGGTTACCATACTCTGCTTGCCATTTTCAGACCAATCGGATACTCAACATCTTTTCTTTGCAGAAAGCAGTAAGATTTTAGCCCCAAGAGTCTTCCACAATTCCTTTCTTGTACTCCAACGAGTAGCTTTTTCTTTTTACGCTCATTTCTAGGGGTAAAAAAAAAGAATTGGGGTATCAAGGTGGGGGGAGGGGGATCACTTAAAATGACACAGGGTGGATCAGAGGGGGGAATCAAAATGGCACAGGAGAGTCAGAGGGGGGATTACCATTTTAGTAACCCTTTTTGATCCTCCTGTGTCATTTTGATTGCCCCCTCTGATCCTTCTGTGTCATTTTAGGTGATCCCCCTCCTGCCACCCTGTGCCACTGAACACCTTCACCAGACATCCCCCCTTACCCGTTTATCATACATTTACCCCCTGGGGCCTGCCTGGGGACTGTCACGGGGCTTGCTGGGGCCTGGATCTGGGATGGAGCAGGGTCTGCCACTGACTGAGAACCTTCAGTCATCAGGAGGGCGGCCACGAGCATCAGGTAGTGTCACCAGAGACAGACCAGCACTCACCACCTTCGCCGTGTCCTGTCTGCTCTATCCTCCTGTTCTTCTACAGGCACCTGCGAAAATCTTCTCCCCTCTCCCGCCCCGCGCTCCGACCTCCGCTCTGCCTCCACACAGCAGTGACGTCAGGACTCCGAGTAACGTCACTGGTTACTAAACGCCAGTCGGGGCAGCCCTAGTGACCAGTTTACCGTAAATTAATTTTCATTCTGAGACAGAGCCTGGGGGGCCCTTATTTTCGGGGGGATGCCTTATATTTCACTCAGAAGGAAACCTTTAAATAGGTCTTATTTTCGGAGGATGTTTTATTTTCGGGGAAACACGGTATATACAGGCTTGCTCAAGGTAAACCTGTTAGATCCACTAATCAGCTAACTTGTGGCCTTGGCCTCACTGACACCACATTCTAACAGACCTATCTCACCCCGTGGATGCAGGTGGGCAAGCAGCCAGGCCAATGCCACCTCATGATCTACCTACCTTCCCCTGCAGCAACTTCTCTTTTATCCAGTCCCTCCCCAACAATCCCTTCCCAACTATGACTCCTATAACCACCGCATAGGAAGGGATAATAATTATCACAGTGGGAGCGAGTGAACATTTACGGAGCCCTGTCTCCATTAGTGGCCAGGATCCATACTATACTCTCTAATCCTAGGCCACCAAATACCGCTCTAGAACTTCCATCTCAATTTCAAAGCATAGGCCTCTCATTGGTTTTGGCCACTTTTCCCATTATTTCATCATTATTAAGTACAATATTAAAAATTGGGTAGCAACTCTGTGCCAGGCCCTGAAAGTTTCAAATTACTTCAGTAGCCAAATAAACACCATGTGATAGTGAAAATGTATTTTTCATGAACGAATAACAAAAGGCATTTCTAGAGATATCTTTGCAAATTTATTCAGGGCAATCTAAACATAACCACTCATTTGACTCAGGCTAACTTAAGTAAAGCAAACTAATTTTCACAGGTAAGCAGAACAGTGATCAAAAAGAGACACATCTGAAAGATGTGCTTTTAACACAGCTATTTAACCAAATTAAGATACTGCCAATTTGCAACCTTATGTTGACAAATGAAAAAATTATGTGAACTTTATTATTTACAGAATAAAGTTTTAATTCATCATAAGTGTTTCCACAGCTGCTGATTCTCTGAGAACCATCATTCTCTTTCCGTCCAGCCCCTCTTCTCTCCATCACTCCACACACACCTCCAACCTCATCCATGTTTAACCAAACTCACTTCGCTCAGGTATCAAGGACTCTGGAAACTGTTTTATTATATGCAGAAGTTAGTGCTCCATCAAAAGGCAGAAATAAATGACAGTCCCTCCCCTTAAGCCTTCACAATCTAAAAAGCAGATAAGAGGGAAATGTACAACACATTACATATGATAAGTGCTACTGAGATAACAAAAATGCAGTTAAGTTATATGAAGGGGGAATGCAGGATGGGGATGGACAGGGGTACGATTTTTCAGGTAAGGCTATCTGCTTGACAGACAGGTATGAATTTACTAGACAAAGGGGGAGACGGAGTGTTCAAAACCTAGAAAAATAGCATTTATAAAAGCACAGAAGTAAATATCTTCATTTTCCTTGATTGTTAATTTTGTAATTCTCAGAAGGTAAGTTACAGTTTTCTTTAAAGGATAAAATTGCAAATTACTTGTAGATATTTAGCATTACTTTGGAAGCACAACAAAATATAAATATAGCCGAAAAAGGTTTGGCTCAATGGATAGAGCGTCAGCTTGTGGACTGAAGGGATTCCGGTCAAGGGCATGTACCTTGGTTGCGGGCATATCCCCAGTAGGGGGTGTGCAAGAGGCAGCTGATAGATGACTCTCTCTCATTGATGTTTCTAACTATCTCTCTCCCTTCCTCTCTGTACAAAATCAATAAAATATACTTTTATTTAAAATATATATATAAATATATATACATATATATATAAACACAATTATATATAAATATATATATAAATATATATACATATATATATATATATAGACACAATTTTAACATTAGTTTTGAAACAATCTCATTTGGCCCGGCAATGGTGTTTTTGTATTTGCCAATAATGCGCAGACATCATATGTAATTAATGCCCCAGAGTAGAAGCCCTAGGAAGAGCTGTGGAGTCTATGTTCTTGAGATCAGAATCCCACTTACTCATGTTTGACTTGGCAAATCTCTCTGTGCCTCATTTTCCTAATCTGATTATAATATATTTTGCATTCACTAATATTTTCATTTGAATATTGTGTGTCTCCCTCAACTACATTATAATCACCATGAAAGCAGAGGCTGTCTTGATCACTGCTCTTTACCTAACATTCAGCAGTATTTAGCCCTTAGAGCAGTCGTAGGCAAACTCATTAGTCAACAGATCCAAATATCAACAGTACAACAATTGAATTTCTTTTGAGAGCCAAATTTTTAAACTTAAACCTCTCCTAATGCCTCTTCTTCAAAATAGATTCTCCCAGGCCATGGTATTTTGTGGAAGAGCCACACTTAAGGGGCCAAAGAGCTGCAGGTGGCTCGTGAGCCGAAGTTTGCCAACAAGGGACTTCGTGGGTGCCAAACGTATACCTGATATTCCCAAGTCAATGAAAGGTTGGTAAAGAGTAACACATCACTCCCGAAGAAGGAGACTTTGACAATGAACTTATGACCCAACAATCTGTGTAGCTCAGCAATCTGGCAAGATTATCACTCTCAAAGACTTAATTATCATATTCCTTCTGAAATAGAATAACTGGAATATCTAAAACTAATCTAAGTGACTCTCAAAAATCATGTTACTATAGTTGCTTTAATATCAATACCTCCTAAAATACAAATTGTGAGAAAAACAAATATCTATTTGAGGAAATGAATTCACCAATGACTCATTCTTCAATATGATTCCTGATATCCTGTAGATCAGTGACTTTAAACCGGTGTGCCACGAGAATTTTAAAAACATACAATATCTAATTATTTAGTCAGGGCATTGACCTCTTTTCCTAGACTGTAAAATAAAAAAAAATGATAACAGCCACTACAACAATAGCCATCAGTGTAAATGAATCAAAAGTATATCTATTTTTTTGTCAGAGCACAAAAAATAATTTTTATGTGCCACAGAATTCTAGTAATTAGTTTATGTGTGCAATGAGATGAAAAGGTTGAAAATCACTGCTGTAGGTTTTAATCCCATCTGATTTCAGCCATTTTTTAATACTGTCATCAGCATGCAGTATAGAATCTGCTTCTAAAGCATCTTGCGGATCTGATTCACCACTTCTTTTTAAAAAGGAATATAAAATATACCACCCTTAAATGGAAGATTGCTTGGGGATCTCCTATATGAAGTCGGGTGCATAAAAATAAAAAGGCTAGTAAGACAAAACCTAAGATTTCAAAATTCTTTTAAAACATAATTACCAGGCTCACGCTGAAAAGAATAACTTTTTCTCTGTGATGGCCCATAATTATAATTCTCAGATGTAAGCTTGTAAAGAGCTTGAAACGAATGTGCCCTATCGGTGGGAAATTGTGGTCCTCTTGGCTAAGCACAAAATCACCAAGATTTACATGCACCCAACGTTTTGCTTCACTTGGGACTTTTCAACAGGCATTAGCACTTTGCCCTTAAAGTCTATTTAGAAACCCCAATAAGAGATCACAGACCATAATTTTGCAGCCAGTCCCTGCATAGGAATACTTCAAGCCACACACAGATGCGCCTGGTAGATTCGAGTAAACAAATGACAGGAAAGCTTAAGCTGCGTGCGGCACGAACGTGGATTCCCAAAGACAAGACTGCCACCTGGACACAAGGTTGGGTAAGGGAAAGAGTGGTAATGGAGAAAATTTCCACAGCACTTATTTAAAGTTTCCATCTTCACGGACACCCCTCTCCCTAAGCACCGGCTCGGGGGACTCGGCGGGGCCGGGGCGCCGGGAGGGAGTCTGCCCTGGACTTCCGTCCTCCCGGGGCCGGAGTGAGCCCCCGCCCGCCCGCCGCGGACCCCCGCCGCGCCCGGGCCACCTCCCGGCTCCGCAGGCGGCCGGACCGCGGCGGAGCGCGCCGGAGCCCTCCTCCCTCCGGCCCGCCGGGCCGCCTCCAGCCCGGTGCGCCCGCCGCTCGGCCCCGCGCCCGGGAGACTTCAGCGGGGCCCGCCCCCCGCGACGACCTGCAGGCACCCCCACCCCGTCACCCTCGCGCCGCCCCGTCCACGGGGCCGCTAATCCCCGCGCTCGCCGCCCGCCGCCGCCGTCCAACTGCCCCGCTGCCCACACCCCCTCCGGGCCCGCGGACGCCGGAGGGCGGGGACGGGCCCGCCGCCAGCCCGCCCCGGAGGTCCCGGGCCGCCCCCCGCCGCACCTACCATGGTACAGATGGAGGCGAATTTGGAGACTGTCATTAGGATTTCCATCCGCCCAGCGCCATCTTCCACCCAATCACAGCGGTGGCGGCGGGCGGGAGAGAAGGGGAGCCGGGCCGCCCTCTCGCACCGCAGCCCGCGGGGGAACCCCGAGCCGCCGCGGACCCACGCACCGAGCCGGCTCTGCCAACGCTGCCGTCGTCGCCGCCGGCGCTCCGGCACTTCCCACCGCGGGCCCCAGTCCCCTCCCGCCGGCCGCCCGCCCCCGGCTCCTCCCCGGCGCAGGGCGCGCAGCCGCCGCCTCGGGGCCCGCGCCTGCCCGCGAAGCCGCCCGGCACACACCCCGCCCAGCGCGCTGGGGAGCGGGCGCCGCCGAGGCCCTACAGCCCCGCCTGCTCCGCGGCTGCGCGGCCCGGCGGCGCGCCCCGCCCGCCCCGCCCCGCCCACCCGCCGCGCGCCCGGACCGCCCCGCGCACAGCCCCGCCCGCTCCCCCGCTCACGCACCTCCCCCCCGGAGCGCGCCTGCGGGGAGCTCCCGAGCCGGCCTTGCCCGGCGCCGCTTCCTGCCGGCGTCCCTCGCGGTCCTAGAGCCCGCTGCAGTCAGCGTGAGCGCTAGGTGATGGGGGGTGCTGGGGAGGTGCGGGTCTCTGGAGGCGGGTTAGGGTGGGTGGTTAGGAATGAAAGGGGAAAAGGGATGTTCAAATCCCTGGAGGGACTGACCCGCAGCCTCCATCGAAAGCGAAAGGACAGTTATTTCTCACTGCTGAAACAGAAAATGGGGCAGTGATCTGGATAATTCTGAGTGGAGTGGCAGTAAACCTGCTCTGTACATTTAAAATAACCCAGGCAGTCCAACGTTCCAAGCACTAAACAAAATGTAAGGTGGTTTGTTTCTTTGGAATCGCCTGAGTCAAAGCTCCCTAACTTAGCAAAAGGCCAGATGCATAAAAATGAATGAGGCAAAAAAAGAAACTATGTATTTCTCTTTGAATTAAGAAGAAAGGTAAATAATGGTAAGAGGTCGGGAAAGGGGGGCGAAGCTGCCTTATGTCTGCCTCTTGGCCATAAAATCCTGAAAGTTGAATTGCAAAATGGAGAAGATCTTAACCCAATAATGATGATGATGTTACCAAAACCAGACGTCTCTCAAATGAGAAGTGTCCCGTGAGAAACATTTAAGCATTATTAGCTAGCGGTATAATTCCTCTTTTCTACGTTTATAAAGTTTATTCTATTCATGTCAAGCAAGTCAGCTTTATTTCTTTCTATTTGAGAAAATAGTTCAAGTGTGTAACATAACTATAAATTCTTATATTAGTAAGCTTGTAATGTTTTTTGATTGGTGAAACGTACCAATGGGGGGTGCTTTTCTGGGTTCCCCCATTTCAGTGGGGCTGAGGATCTGAATTCAGACAAACTTCTAAAATCAAATATGCTTCACATCGTAGGTTCAAAGTATTCAAAACACAAAACAAAGCATGCAAAGAAAAAAATAGGTGAAAAATAAAGATTTCTGGTACATGACTTCTGTTTCTGTAATGATTTTCAGTATAAGCTTGTTAGGAGAGAAAAATGCAAATAGGACATAGCCAAGTTCCACTGTAGCTGGCTTCGTTAGGATCCTGTTTGTCACCACCCATTCAGATTCAGGAATGTGGGTGTTTGCCTCCTTTTTCCTGCCTAGTGTCACCCACCTGAATTCTATTTACCGTGTTCCATTCTACTTAAACCTCCAGGGCCTGCCTGGGCCTCCTACCACTGTCACAATGCTCCTGGATCCTATCTGGCCCATTTGGATAAATGTCTGTTGTCATCATGTCCTCCCCACTTGCTATTCTCTTCCAGCACACAGGTCTGATGTCCCAGAATTTAAGCCCACCTCCATCTACAGTGCTCACCACCATGTTGCCTTGTCCGTGAATCCTAAAAGTCACAGGAACAGAGGCCACCAGCTCTCTACATAAGTTTATGGAAGAACAAGGCCTTTTAAAAATGAATTTCTGATAGAATTATCTGGAGTTGTATTTGATGTTATAGCCATCTAAATTTGCAGGTGATACCATAGAACCTAATTGCACAATCTCGTCATGCCTTGTCTCCCCAGCTTAAGGTTAATCAGAGAGGCACAACAAAAAGAGAGATTCTTCTTTGTGCTATGCGCTGCCCTTCAGTGTTTTATATATAATGTCGTTGAACATAATATTTTGCTAAAATGCCACACTTTTGCACCTAAAGCTCATGTGGAAGGTGTGGGGAAGCATCTGAGCTTAGAACAGTTTTTATCTGTATCAGTTTTACAAAGTGCTTGATTATGCCTAGAGAAAAATGAGTTTGAGTACCTCTGACTTCTTTGGGGCCTTCATGAGAGTATAAGCTACAAAATAGACCCAGATAACCTCAAAAACCAAGCAAGTACAATAAATGAACTAGAGCCATCCTTAATCCGTTGGTTGGCACATTTTTTAAATTTGTCCCATTTGAATATTTTTACACATCATATTAATATACTGTCTGGTTTCTGTTACTTAGCTTGTCTCCCTCAAACCAGATGTCACTCATATTCACTGAGTGGCCAGATTATTATGATCTCTGAATGCATAATAATCTGGCCACTCAGTATATATTATATATATTTTAGAGGCCCAGTGTATGAATTCGTGCATGAGTGAGGTCCAGCCAGTCTGGCCAGGGGGAGGGGACATGGGCAGTTGGCCAGCCTGCCTGCTGGTCGAACTCCTGCTTGGGGGGACATTTGCATATTAGCCTTTTATTATATAGGATATACACTGAATGGCCAGATTATTCGTTCAGGGGTCATAATAATCTGGCCACTCAGCATATTTCTGCCACTTCTCTTCTCCTTAAAGGCATTCAAGTTTGCACCAGCTAACATAAATGAGTGACAGGGTGGGAATAGTGGGGAAAATACAGGGGATATAAGACATCCATAATGACAGGTACTTATGACGGACTTATCTGTACACCAAACATTTTTTTTTCATTTTTTAAATATATCTTTATTGATTTCAGAGAGGAAAGGAGAGGGAGAGAGAGATAGAAACATCAATGATTAGAAAGAACCATTGATTAGCTGCCTCCTGCATACCCTTCAACTGGATGTGTGTCCTTGACCTGAATCAAACCCGGGACCCTTCAGTCTTCAGGCCAACTCTCTATCCACTGAACCAAACTGTCTAGAGTAGGGGTGTCGAACTCAATCAGAGAAGGGGCCAAAATCTAAAATCCAGCCTAAATTGTGGGCCGAATGGTTTACTGAATAGTCATAAACTGTCATTGTGAAGGAAACGCAGTGGAGTGCAGTGATGACAGCGCGGTGCGGGCCACATTGCAAGGCCTGGCGGGACGGATTTGGCCCGCGGGCCTTGTGTTTGACACATGTGGTCTAGAGCTATACCAAGCATTTTATCAAATCCTCACAAAGCCATGAAAGTGGTGCTATTATTATCCCCATTTTCTAGAAAACTGAGACACACAGGTAACTATCCCAAGTGAGAGGGTGCAGAATATGCTATCCCCAAACATACTATTTTGGCATATTGATTATTCTGAATTAAAGTTACTTGAGAAAAAGCCAGTGTAAGGACACTCTGAGCTTCCTTCATCCCCCCTGAAAACAGGAAATAAATCATCCATGTGAAAGGTACCCTCCCTGTACCAGGAAGGTAGAGTAACATCCTTATCATTAGAGACAGGGAATTCAGGGCTGAGAAAGCTGGATAAAAAACAAACAAACAAACAAACAAAAAACAACTGATACTTCTCCACTCATTAGCTATCCCAAGCCTAAATGCTTTTGTCAGTTCTTTACAAATGTGTTGTTTCTTTGTCTAAAATGTATAAAGCTGCCTGCTATGGTCAATTCTTTGAATCTCATATTTCTATGTATGTAATAAATTAAATTTGTTTTTCTCCTGTTTATCTGTCATGACAATTATTAAACCAGCCAAAAAATCTAGAAGGGAAAAGTTGTCTTCCTCTGCACAAGGTTGCACAACTAGTAATCAGTGGAGCTAGGAGCTGAGCCTGGCTCCAGAAGCCACGATTGTATCCACTCTGCTGCTTCGCCAGCTCATGTGAAAGTGCCTCATTCGGATTCTGCCGTGTTTCCCTGAAATTAAGACATCCTTCAAAAATAATACCTACTTACAGGTTTCCTTCTGAGTGAAATATAAGGCATCCCCTGAAAATAAAGCCTATCTCCAGACTCTTGATATTGCAATAAACAAGCCATTCAAAGACAATTTGCGCATGGAAATTAATGACTACATTGAAAATAGAATGGAGAGAAATCAGCCTGGAAACTTTGTGAAACCTAAACTGCAAGAAGTTGTGACTTGGGTGAAGAATTCATGGGAGAAAATCACTGACAGTTGCATTGCAAATGCACTGCGAGCAGGCTACCTTGACAGGAAGTACTCATTTAAAGATAGTGCTATTGCTAAACATGAGAGATTTGGTCCACTGATTCTGAAAGAAATGGAGTCACAGGAAATTCCCCAGGAAATTCAGGAATTGGATTGTTATGATGATGTTCCAGAAGATGATGACATGATTGTCATTGAATAAATGGGTGAATTCTTGATACTGTAGGGTTCACAGTTTGTCTGGTTTGTGTTGACAACTACCATACTACAGTACCATATAGAGGTAATAAATTTCCTTTATTTTCATTTAACAATAAATGTGTACCGTATTCTTCTTTATAGAAAAATAAGACATCCCCTGAAAATAAGATCTAGCGCATCTTTGGGAGCAAAAATTAATATAAGATACTGTCTTATTTTCAGGGAAACGGTAGTAGGATGAACTGAGAGGCATTAACTCCTTTGGGATTCACATGAAGGTTTTAGCTACAAAATATAACCAAAGATGTATTTCTTTATCTTACTCTCTTCCTCTGGAAAATAAGGGTAATGGTTATGTCTACTTCTGAGGACAAAACATGGAGAATATTTAAGAATAGCCTGGCCCTCAATACAAGCTGGAGAGCTCACAATGGCTATTCAAAGTCAACATTTTAAAAAGTCAGGGTGGGCAAATACAGCCCTCAGGATGCCAGTTTACTTCCTCAGATTTAATGAACCTCTGCTATGTGCCAGCTAGTTCTCAGATGCATTTTCTAATGGAACCCTTCCAATGCCCTTGGCGCTCAGTCACTTGCTGCTCATTTTATCACAGTCAGCATGGCGTTGTCCAGACAAGGCAGAGCCAGGTCCACACCAACACACTGACTGGAAACCCATGATCTCGCTCCTGCTCTACCCTGCCCATTGACAGTTTAATGAATCAACCTTCCTAGTGGCATGAATTAACATCATCCAGCTGCTCAAAGGTAGATGTTACTCAAAACAGTGATGTTCTTTTGTTTGTTCAAATCACAA